CGTTATTATTGTATGTACCAAGTTTATCATCAAAATTGTCCAAATCGTGTAACAGCAAATTCATCCATGTCATAAAATGTTTAATATCTAAAAAACGCTAAACCTTCTTCTTTTTTCCAGGTTTTCAGATAAGACGTTTAGCCATCTTGACACTATTTTTCATAAGAATCACTAAAAAAAACCTTTGCGTTATTCAGCTAGAAATAGAACAGGTTAAAATTGTTTTGTGTCAGACCTACTATATTCCCAACTGAGCAATGGTGAAAGGAAAAAGATCATTCAGGTCTTCAGCAATTGTACCAACATTCATACTCTTGTTTCAGTCTTCAAAGTCCATTCAAGAACCATCAAGAGAACGGTGAATAAATTTTAAAAAGCGGATAACAGGACCAGGAGGTCACAACATCTAACGTGATAAACAGTAGGGGGGGGTAGGTAAATAATTTCATTTTTAATATTTCTTACTTATTATTCCGTTTGTTTTTATGGGAGAAACAAGAAGAGAAGCCCTACATCAAAAGAGGCAGAGAATAAAGATTCCAGGACTGGAGATAATAAAAATAAACAGGGTACTTTATCTATTTTAATAATTATGGTAAGTATTGGTTTGTAAAATTCCTTCGCTAATAGCAAGCACTTATAAAAGAGAGAATTTTACTCGTCCTAGTTTCATTTAGAGCAGTGCCAGATTTGTGAGAAACCTGTAAAAAATAAACTCATTCCATCCATTAGAAAAATTGTGTTTTTCTGTTCGTTTCTTTATGACCGCTGACTATGCGAGTGATCTTATAGAAACCTTCAAGAGAATCGAATGAAATATTCGATAAATTGTCTGCGAAAAATAACGTTGAAATAATAATAAAAAAAACATAAACAATTCAATGCAAGTTGTAAATTATTGATATTGTCCCCGATTATTCCTGATGAGTCGGTTATTCTAAACTAAGGTTTTTCTGAAAAAGCACACGAACTTTATGATTAAAAAATAAAGTGTGAGAGAAAGAAAGTGTTAATTGAAAGATAAATAAGTAATTAGAAGACGATTAAATGTTTGGTCGTTAAAAGACGTCCGGCGGCAAATGATGAGGTATTAAATTATGCACAACAATCACCTTGCAACGAATAAGAAGAGACGATTAAAAAGAAAATAATCAAACGGTTTTCCACAGACAGCGAATTCGTATAGTCTTGTAATTATCATATTTATAAGAATATAGCATAGAAACGCATACTTTAGTTTACGGTGATAGATTTGGGATACGAAACTATTTGCTTTTTTGATTCTGAATAGCAACTAAATCCAACTCGATCATTTTAATAAATATTTTCACATTAAACATGTCTAATTAGATGTTTTTTTCTTAGCCACAGCCAAAGATTAAAGTTTTCATTTTTGGTTATATATTGTTCACTGTTTATAACGTATGGTTTCATAAATTTAGATATTAACCGAAAATAACTTACCTTTTTGGTTACGTCGACGTGGTGTAATGGTTAGCAAGCGTGTCTCGCTAGATCAGTGTGGTGGGATACTGGGTGCTTCACACTTTCGGCCTTGTGTTACATTTAAGATACGCTTAAAAATCATTTGGGCATCTCGTCGTGACGTAATGGTAAACAAGCTTGTCTCGCTAGGAGAATTACAACTGAGTGTGATACTCACTGGATGCCCCATACTTTCGGCTATGTGACACATCTAAGCTACGCTTATAAAATCACCATAAATTACTTACGCATGAGGTCAAACGTCTTCATGAATGTAATATGATAATATTTTGGTATATATGGATCTATACATGAATAATAATAATGTACAGTTATGGTTTTCGGCTGAGGAAATATAAAAATTAAATTACATTAAATAAACATCAAGAAATCTATCTATCTAGGATTAATACAAATATAACATTTGTCACTTAGCTGCAAATATTTGAACTTATGGAAATAAAGAGTGTGGCTCATCTGAACATTTGCCAAGGAAGTAGCGATAGAATAGTGTATAGTTTGCAATGGGGAAAACACTGCAGAAAATAAGTCATCCTCTACAAGACTGAGTAAACGAATTTGAGCTCTACCGAAGCTGGACACTGAAGATCATGTTGGGTCAGCCCAGATACGATAGTATTACCTAATCTGATTCTTGCAATGATAAAGCATAGCAGAAGGAGTCAAGTATTTTCTGCTGCGATAATATGAGTTGAAAATCTTTCTTTATTAATAATATGTCTGATAGCACTTTTTTTTTACTTTATTCTGTGTAGTAATTCTATTTTGACGAAAATTGTCATGGGGTTTCAGCTTTCAGTACACAATATTATTCTATGTGCCATATTCCTTCAGAACGTTCACAGCTTCCTATCCTTTGTAGCACGTAGCAATCTTCATCTTTTTATTGTCCCTCCTATTCGCTGTTTTGCCATTCATTTACACAAGCTCGTTAAATAGGCTTTTCTCTGTCTTTGGTTTCAATATATCTTGTGAGTGTAAACTTTCCAACTCCTCTTTCCTCATTATGCGTCATAGAATCACTCTTTTTAAATTCAAATATTCTTTCGTTCCCATTTTCTTTTAAAACTTCCGCGTTGTTGTTATATATATATATATATATATATATATATATATATATATATATATATATATATATATATATATATATATAAATTAATTAATTTAAAATATGTTTTTCCGCTACACAGTTCTAACCATGTTTCAAAATGGAAGCTAAAAGACACGAATTTAATTTTGCAATTAAATTAAAGATATTAGTTCCATTTCATCCTCAAAATTCGCTTGAGGACGAAATGGAACTAATGTCTTTAATTTAATTGCAAAATTAAATTCGTGGCTTTTTTAGCTTCCATTTTTGAAACATGGTTAGAACTGTGTAAAGGAAAAAATATTTTAAATCAATTAATTATAATATTAATGCTCTGTAAATTTACATTGAGCACTATTTTGTAAAAATAAAAATATCTATAAGAACACCGGATTATATATCTTACTGTTCTTTCTTTTTTATATATATATATATATATATATATATATATATATATATATATATATAACAAAGAACAGATATATGCCATGTATTCAATTGTGAAAGTAGAATAACATATATTTTTATTACTTCAAAGCTTCCAAGAAAATTAAATTTCGGCATTAAATGACCCATAAATAGTTGATATGCCATTTAAGAGAAAAATCATCACAAGGAAATTATCCAGTATTCACTACCCTATAAGGAGATTGATATTAGCAGTTCAGTACTCTTTTCTTTGTTTCTAATGAAATTTTCCTTTCCTGATACTCTATATCACTTTTGAAAGGCATCTTTTAATATTAAACTCCGCCTTCGAATTTATGTCAGATTTTTTGCCATCTCTTAAAAACTTGTCAGATATTTGAATTTCTGTAGTTGCCTTGATTTTAACATCTCCAATCCGTAACCCGAATCTTGCTGACAACCATTCAGTGTGTCTTTTTATAATTGCTGGTTAAATTTTTGTTCTCGATTTCTTTTACTACCTTGTATTGCAATTTTCATTCCTGTGTCTGCCACCGATATGACATCGTAATTAGAATAATAGAAGAAAGAAAATAATTTACTGGTGTTAATTATTTTCTGGAGATTTTAAATTAAAATGAAAGAACCGTTGCATAAGTTGTGGATACAAATTTAACACAAAACGAGAAAAAACTCTCATTTATACGCTTTTAATTGGAAGCCGATAGGAACGTAGAATGTCGTTTCATTTTCACGAAACATTCTTTTAAATAAGAGAATGTCTTTCAATCGTGTGACATTGATAATGAGAAAAGTTTGGTTCAATAATTCTTATAATTACGTATTAGCGTTGTTGATTGGAATGTATGAACTTTCATTACATGGATACATGGATTTAGTTTTAATGTAGAGAGTTAACAACCGATTGTATCAAGACAGTATTATTTGTCAGAATAGTACCATTCACACGTGGTCTTAGCTCCATATCATTCATCGAGCAAATGGGATTTTTCGTAGACTTCTAATTGGCTATGTTATTAATACTGTTGGCTTCAACTAGAATGCGGATAATGATTGTTATCTAACAACAAATAGCTGCTACATGAGAGATGCTTATAACATTGTTATATGCTAAAATTTCACCCAATACAAGTATTATGTTCATGTTGTAGTTTTTAATGAGAACACGAGACTAATTCACTTGAAAATAATCTCATATTTTTATACAACCTCAGATTTTATCAATTACTGTCGACCAGCGGGCGAGTAGATTTGGCTTTTTTTTAAAAAATCAGTTCACCCCAATGAAGGCGATAATGCAACTAGATGTTGAGGTAGTATTTAGAAGGAACTGGAAACCCAACCCTAGAGAGGAAACAAGTGATAAATCTTTACTGCGGTTCAAAAGATCGGAGAGGAGTATGAACAGGACGATAGGCGAACCTATCTACTTCTTTCTTTGAATCTCAGACACTTCGAACACACACGCCCGAATAATTTTTTTATATGAATTGATAATCAAAACCACTGAATCAAAAGACTGGGGAGGAGTGTGAACAGCGGGTAAGGCTTGGAGCTTCACTTAGTGGTTATGAGGTTTTCTCTCAGCTCAACTTGCCAATGATCCTGATTTCTCTGAAGGACACCCAGTGGACTCAATTTTGGCATCATTTGACTTGTGTCACTTAGCACAAAAGGCTTGAGAGGTACTCAAGGTAGACACTTACAGGTAGCAAAATGGTAATGCTGAAAGAGGTGTGTGATATGAATGAAAAATGTGTTAAGAGATGTAGATTATGAGGATAAGGAGGAAATATAGCAATTGATCAAAAACTTATTCAGGAATAAAATATGTGTATATACTTAAACAATTTAAATATAGTTCCGAGATATATGTATAATTCAATTTTAAAGGTAATGTCATCTTTTTGTTGTTATGGGTTTTTCTAATGAAATGTAGTCTGGTATATTTTACTGTCTTCTCATATAACAAATCTTACGACCATATCCCGTTGAAACACCGGGTTTCGTATGATCACCGAAGTTAAATAAAGTTGAGCCTGGTCAATACCTAGATAGGCGACCGCTTGGGAATACCAGAGTATGTAAGCGTGGATGTGCAGGTGGCATAATGGATAACAGCTCGTAATTGGAAATTGGAGAGTCGAGTTCTAATTCCAGTCGAGTTTAGTGTATTCCCTTATGTGCAAGTACCCTTGGGAAAGTTATAAATCCACCTCTTCTCCCCCAGCTATAGGTTAATTAGTAGGACTTGTATCAGAAAATGATTATTATCGCCAATGGATTCTTAGAATCTAAAAAAATATGGCTTTAAATAACCATCGAAGGGTTGATAAACTGTAAAAAGCAAATCAATCAATTATCATTTGTCTTTTTTTGTTACTTACTTATTGTTCTTTATCATAAATCTTCTGTCTAAAGCGCCCACACACAGGAAAACAATAGAATTTAACTCATATATAATAACAAACTTAAATAAATAAAAAAAACCCAAAAACCAAACAAACAGAAAACAAAAAAAAAAAAAAATTATAAATGTCCTACTTGTAGCAGGTTTTCCTTTAGTGGTTCGTTACTAAATGTGGATGTTTTCTTTTGTTGTTTTGTGGAGAATGTTGAACTATAATGTGGGTTGTTAAACTAAAACAATAGAAACCTTCGCTATAGGTGAATCTTGCATATCCTTGCAGTATTAAATAACATTTTTTCTACCGATTGATTCTTTGTAGCTCAAACGGTAAAGGCACGTCAGCGTATATGACGGTTCCGTATAGGATACAGGTTCGAATCCTGTCAAAGAACGAAATTTTCTATGAAAATTTTTTCTTTGTTATTTAATACTGTTTATCATAAACAGAATTTGCTTAAATGCTGTATCTATAAAATAACAACGTTAAACAACTATAATAAATAAATTGTCGGACCTTGTCCATTTCTTAATATATATTTGTTTAATTCGATAAAATGGAAAGTTGGAATAAGCAGTAAATTCGACCTTGTCTACCGATTGGTTCTTTGTAGCTCAAACGGTAAAGGCACGTCAGCGTATATGACGGTTCCGTATAGGATACAGGTTCGAATCCTGTCAAAGAACGAAAATTTTCTATGAAAATTTCTCGATGGTAAATGTTATTTAATACTGTTTATCATAAACAGAGCATTTGCCTTGTTATATAAAATAACAACGTTAAACATAAAAATATGTCTTTAATAAATATATATATATATATATATATATGTTAGGTAATAGAAAGTGGCTACATATTTTTGACGGCGAGTTTATATAAAAACATGCCTTCCAAAAACTAAACAAAAGATTAAGAATCGGGAAAAGTCCATTAGAAACAAAGAAAAGACTACTGAACTGTGATATAATATCAATCCTTTTATATATGAATGCTACACAATTTTCTCACTGTTTTCTCACGAATGAAGAAGAGACTCGAGGCAAAAGGGCGTGGTTCTACTTATAAAGCTTTTCTTTCTTTCAGGACGTAGGCGATCACGGCCCTCCACTTCCCCTATCCCTTGTGACTCTCAACACGTTTTGTGTTTCTGCCAATTCCCCCAGACCACCCACTACAATTCACCTACCTTACCCCACCACGTATGTCATGCATTGCTTTCCCATATCTCTTTTTTCCTTCTATTCGCCCTGTGAGTATCAGATTCTCCAGGCCCTCCTTTCTTATCATGTGTCCCAGAAATTTCATCTGCCTCTTCCTTATGTTAAGTATAAGTTTCCTCCTTGTTGGCATCCTCTCCAAGACCTTCATCGTTGCTCACATGCTCGGTCCATGATGGACGGAAAATATCAATAAGGAGCAGGTTTTCAAAGAAATAAAAACAAAAGGGATTTAGAAGCAGAAATGGATATTTAAAGATTATAAAATGTACGATTGGAGAATTTGGACTTCACGGGATATAGTGTAGAGAAGAAAATCAGAGAGAATTATTTAGTAACCTAACGAGCTTGTGTAAATGGATGGAAGCGATAATAATATTGCTTCCAGCGAAGAAGAATAGGAAGGTATGGAGAGCCATGATCGACGACATTTCGAAGGTCCAAGACACATAGAAGAAGAAATTCTAGGTGGTGAGAGAGTTTTCTTTTAGATGCCTGTTCTGGTTAAGAAGAAAATGACATAAAACGAAAACCGCTATTTAATCTTTCCAATGTTCGCTTACGTTTACATTTAAAATAACTTTTAATTCCACCGTTTTGAATCAAGGCAAAGACTTTTAAACTTTTATGTAGAAAATCGATAGATTCTCTAAGCTATGCTTAATTCGTTTCCGTCTTTGCGACAGTAAAAATAATGTCTTCCCTACATCACGAAAACTATCCAAATCATTCTTCTCGTAGACATTCCTTTCAGAAAATCCTCACGTGTCACCGTCATTCCAAAACTGATAGTCCACAACGATGTCAAACAGCAATAAAGGAAAAAGAAATCATATAATAAAAGGGTTTAAAGGTTAAACATAATGAATAATAGAAGCACCATAAATGCTTTATTCTATCATTTAACGGATATGCTAATGATTATTGTGAACCATCTTCACGAGTCAGACTATCTATAGACTTCGTGTTATGTACCCGTGTTCAGTTATTACGTGAGGTTGTATTGCAATCGTTCTGTGATATTTACGACAAATCCTAGCAACTTCCCTGAATTTAATTTTCGGAATGTGATACCGAGACTCTCGAAAAGATTTGTGAGGCTTTTGGAGAGCATTCTTTTACGGCAAATAAACATTATTGTGTGGCACGCAGAATTTGAGTTTATCTGAGTGTCGGTTATAGGATATTTAGGCCAACCACTCACAAGCAGAACGCGTGAAAATGTGGAAAAACATTTCGGCACTCATCTATAAGAGCCATTTCCAAACAACCCATCAGATCACTCGCAGAATTGGAATCGTTTACGCAGTATTCAAGGAGATACAAATGTTTCATCTTGTATAATAAAGTAATCAAGCTGAATTCATTGTGGTTGCTTTTAGTCAAATTGAAAGTGTTTGAGATTCTTCTTTGTCGATATAAAGCAAACGAAATTGTAAGTATATACAAAGCAAAATAGAATGATCAAAAAATCGACTGGAATGGATATTGGCTTTGGTTTGTTTGCCACATTGTAAATGATTGACATATTGTTTAGCTAAACATACGTTAGATTCTTTCAGAATGGATTTCTATGTCCTCATTGACTATATACTTTGTATATGTAATTGTAAGCCAGGTATTTTCCCAGAAATTAAGAAGAAATGAATATGGAAAGTGAAAGGAGAGAATTATTGTTTAACTTTTTTCATTACCGCCAGGATTTGCCGCGTCTTTATGTATATAACCATTAGAATTAATTGAAATGTTGAAGTATTTGTTTAATAAATCATCGGCGTTTTAATGAATGAATACTTTGACGTATGTCTTTAATTGGTCGTAGTCATTATATATGTAGTCATTAGAAGTATTTAAAGTCTTGACGAATTTATTGAATACCAGACGTTATAATGATTCATCGCCGTTATATGTTATCATTAAACATTAAGTATTTGTTTATCAATTCTAATCTGCAATAACAAAGTTGCATGAAAAGTTAGTTTATTATGTTATGTATTTAAGTAAACGTCTAATTTCCCAGAAGTATAATTTAAATTTTAAGTTTTTTTATATGTTCTACATAGGTTCGTACATGAGAGCTTTTTTTAATATTCACTCAATATTATGATAACTAAAGTGTTATCTAAACAAGAGACTAGTCTTTAGGGTTTAGAGATTTTAGTCTTGTACTAGATATTTATTAGAACCTACTATTATTAAATTAATAGTTTACCTATTTGCGTAAAGTACTAATCGTTGCAACTTTTTAATTATAGAATTTCATTGCATACAACTATTGCAGTGATTTAAAAAACAAATTCTTTTTGGCAAAAGAATCCGAAAATTATTTTCCTCTTTGTTCCTTGATGCGCTTAACGATCGTACAGCTGGAAATCAATCGATAGTGAAAGCAATCTATACTGATTTAATCAAAGCTCAAAAACACAACACCGACCCATTCAAGTCAACTTAATCAAACCAGAAACAGTAACTGTGTTGTGGTCGGACCCGATTAGGACCAAGGAAGAACAACACGAACACAAGAGTAGAAATAACGAAGGTATATTACACGAAATAATAATACAAGATGTGGAAGGTGTTAGTATAATTGCCAGTCTGGTTTGGAGTGAACTACTATCGGCACGACTCGATTCGATATTTACTTGAAACGAGGGAAAGATGTGGCGCAAGGCCGAGTTTTACGTGGGATTTCCGAGCCCGTAGGCTCGGCCAAAAAATGCCCGTAGAAGCCGTATAAACGGGATCGGGTTGGTCAACCTCCCCGAACGAGACTCTGCCCTTCAGCGGAGCCTCGTCCGGTTTCCTCTCTGTTCAGAGGCAGAGTGTTCGACCGTCAAGCCGAGAAGCTCGACTCGATTCGACCCTCTCTCTTGAGAATCATAGTATACATAGTGTTAGGGAGATTTCATTCTGTAGTTATAGGTTAGGACCCATGACAAACTGACTCTTCGATTGGATGCCTGTTTTAAGCAGAGAAATTATTTCGAATATAAAGTATTATAAGAGGGTTTTTTTTAGTAGTAGAAATACTAGCTGTTGTTTTTTAAGGGATTTTATTAATAAGTACAATTCCTGTTGGTTAATCAATATCTTTTTACCATAGGTCTTAGACATTTTAGTGACAGAGAATTTTATGTTCAATTGATTTGTCATTATTCAACGTTAAATCTTAATCACTAAGAATTTTTTGGGGTTTTTGAAGCTAGGAAATCTATCACTATCTGTGAATCAAACTAACAGTTACATACGTTTTTGTAGTTGATCAATTTATTAGTGAGTGTTAGTATTCACTTGTTTAGTTTTTTTTAGTTTTCGTCATTGGAACAAGTGGTAGATACGTTGTTAGTGATTGTTATAAGTTAGTTGTTTATTTTTGTTATTAGATACAAGTGTTAGATAAAAATATAATTACAAATGTCAGGCCGGTAGACAAAAAATAAATATACTGTTTAAT